ATTATACATACTGGGCAGAGTGTTTATATATATATATACATATATAAAATGTGTGTGTGTGTATGTGTGTGTGTGTGTGTGTGTGTGTAACAACAATTTAAAAAAAGAGGCCATGAATTTGAAGGAGAGCAAGGTGGGGGAGGGCCATGTGAAGAGTTGGAGGGAGGGAGGAAAGGAAAGGAGGGAAATGATTTTTAATTTAAAAAAGAAGTATCATCATTGGTCAAATCATACACTTCTCTAGACATCCTTGATTTGTTTCTTATATCCTGAAGCAAGCATCTTCATCAAGATTTCTACTTCTGGGAGAATTTCATTTTTTAACCATGTAAAGATGTAGGAATAACCACATTGACACACCCACATGTCATATGACATGTCAGTCTCAGAGGAGGTACTACAGGCAACTTGGTTATTATGGAGTACAAACACATTTGGAACAATTAGTTTCTTCTGTTTTATTTACTCTAACTAATCAAAACTTAAGTAAAAATTATCAAAGATATAATTTCCTGTAGGAAATTCTTGATGCTTATTTTTATGAGTGATAGCAATTTGAAAGACACAGATGGCTGACTAGAAGATTTGCTATAAATGAAACTGAATTCATTCATTATAAACCAGGTTGCATAATGCTAATCAAAGCTTTACATTTCACTTGGAAAGAAAACTAATTATTAAGATTGCTTCTTACAAATCAGTCTTCTGGCCTGTTTCTTTACAGAATTGAGACTAGACTCACAGATATTTGTTCTGACTTAAGTTATATCTGAGCTTGAAAATTTTATATCTGGGCTTCTGCACATACTTTGATAATACTTTTAAATCCAAATACATTTTTAAAGTAAGATTATAAAATTTAAGAACAATAATTTTAGAGGAACATCGTTACCATTATGCCAAACTCAGTGTTACTCCCTGGCATTTCTAATTACTTAAAGGAATTTTCATATTACCTAACATTTTCATTTCTCCAGCACTTCCATTTTATCCCTGCAAAGGCAAAGATAAAATTCTCCATCAGATAATTATGAAGTCTGCAAAATTTGTGTCCTTATTGGCTGTATAGAATGTCAGACTCAGTTTGCGTCTGGTAAAATGGGCTTTGGTGGTTGAGAAAACTAGTGAGGTCAGCATTCAATGGCTTCACAGACTTGGTCAGAATTGCAAGGCTCATTAGTGGGAAGGTAGATGGCACAAGGGAGGATGTCAGTGTGGTTGTTTGGTTCAGCATTAGATGAGGCAATTACAGAGCCTATTATTCAAATGACCAGTGTATGGCCAACTGCCACGATGAAGCTGATTTAGGATGGAGGGTCTCAGATGGCATAAAATGAAGAGAGGATGGAAATAGAGGTCTACTCCTCGAGTGGAAGACACTGAGCATCTGGGAACTTACCTGATCCCAGACTCTCATATCTTCCCCATCTCTTAGGAAGAACAGAGACCAGAATGCACCCAGGAGAGTATTTAAGTGTGCACATCCAGAGACCTCAGGTAATGAGCTAGAAAAATAGGCAATCAAAATGAACTAATGTTGACATTCGGTCTCCTTTCCTTATGACCTTTCATCAGCTGAGCAATGACCTGTCCCAAGATATTTGGAATGACATGTCAGTATCACAGGAGGCACTGAGGACAAGTTATTCCAAATATCTTTACATTTTCCTTCATGATATAATGATGTTGCTATTATTCTGATGATTAGCTAAAATGTACTGGGCTAGTGCCACTTTGAGATCTTTGGCAGCAGTTAACTTTGCAGCTCACACATAATTGAGCCGGTATGATAATGAGTATTCAGAGACAGGTAATTCCTGGGGGGCGCTCACCAACCTAAGACAGAGTGCCTATGTGGCCTGGGCAGGCGTCTCCATGACGGGTAAGGTGACCTGCTGGCGTCCCACACAACCCAACTCAGAAGTTCATTTTTTAGTAAAAGGGGGACCTGTAGGGCCCTGGCCCCCGTTTTGGGTAGCTGTTGCCTTGCTTGCTGACCTTGACCTTGATATCCTCCCTATGCTAATTCCCTGCCAGGTTCCACCCTCCTGAATGCTTAAGGGAAGTTCCTTGTCTGTGTATCCTGAATAATGGGCGTTAACAGCTTAGATGCAAGATTGTAAAACATC